CAGAAGCTCTCAGCAGCTCAGCCTGAAGCTGTCCATGCCCAGACAGGCCCTCCGCATTCTCCTGTCCTCACCCAACAACCTCAGGAGCTTGGCTTATGTTCTCAGAGTTGGTCTCCACTCCTAGTCCTTGAGGTTCTCCTCCATGTCTGACTAAAGGGTCTTACCTTCATTACTCCTCTCATTGGAGAAAGGGAGACGTGTGATAAAAGCACCTACCATACCCTTCACAAACCTGAGAGGGAAGAGTCATTAGAACCTCATTCTACAGAGAAGAGAATCAAGGCCAGAGAATTTGTGAAATCTGCTTGAAGTCACAGAGCTAAGTAGGGCCCAGTCAAGCCACTGCCTGATGTGCAGTTGACTTCCTTGACTTTCTGCAGACTTCTGGTCTTAGCCTCTGCTCCATTCAGTGGTTTAGAGGTGGCCTTCGGGGTCAGATAGTTGTAGCTGGACTCTCAGGCCCATCACCTGTAAGCTGTGTGGAATACTTCGCCTCCCTGGCTTCAGGTATCCAAACCAAAGCTCAATGAATGGCAGCCATCTTTATCACTTCTTTCTCAGATGCATGTGTCACATGTAAGCTTCTTTTCTCCAACTTTCCTTTGCCTAAGGATCACTTGTGGGAACATGTTACATGCAGATCTCTCCCGCTCTGTCCTCAGGACCTCTGAGAGTAATTTAGGGAGCACTATATAAGCGTTTTTATGAGAAGCCTGAAGATTCCAATACAGAGAGTCAAGCTTTGGCAAAAACCATCAACTACTCCTATTTTCTGATTTTATTCCTTTAAAGTAAAAGAGCTCACCAGATCTGTACGTACAGTCATAGAGTATGACACAGTGTCAGGAAAACTCTGACTCTCAGAACTTGAGGGTTTTTATCTGAAACATCACATTGGTTTTTCCACTCAGTGTCTTTCAAATGTCTTAAATTAAAAGTAAAATAAAAAATACACTTTACGTAGCAACTAAGAACAGGTGTATGTTTACACATACATAATAAATGAATTTTTCACAAAATAAGATCTTCATTATGTACATTGCTATTTGCTTTTCTTTTTCCCCCAGTACTGGGATTGAACCCAAAGAGTGCTGAGCCTGAGCCTCACCCTTTTTATGTCTTTTAATATTTTGATATAGGGTCTCCCTATGCTGCCTAAGCTGGCCTTGAACTTGCAGCCCTGCTGTCTCAGCCTTCCAAGTAATTAAGATTACAGGTGTGTACCACCATGCCCTGGTTCACATTACTATTTTCATTCCTTTTTTTGTAAAGTTGAGCACAATTCTTTAATTTCATTTTATAATCCAAAATGAATTACAACCAATACATGAATTGTAATCAATAAAGAACTAAAATGACCCAATGTTGGAATTAACAGAGAAGGATTTTAGAAGAACTATTATAACTATATTCGAATTTTTTCTTTTGCACCGTACACTGAGTGGGAGACTGGAGCCTCCTGCAGAGGTTTCCAGGAACATTTCAGGGGTTCCCAGTAGAGTATAGGTTAGTGACAGAGCCTGTGCTTGGAAGTACCTGGAAGGCCCTGGGTTCAGTCCCCAACACAACACACACACACACACACACACACATACACACACACACACACACACACACAGTATTTTCCATTTTTCTTGGGCCAAACCTTTTAGGCCCTACGTAATTTACTCCCTGCCTGCCTTTCTGGCCCCACCTTGCATATTCTTCTCACTCACAGTGATCCAATCCAACTGCCCTTTATTCAGGTCTTCAAATATCTTTTTCAGATAGAATATGCACCTGTTCTCTCTTCCACTGATTTCTCAACCATTTATCTAGTTATCTACCCTTCAAACTCATATCTCATGTCCTTTTTTTCCTCCAGTCACTCACCAAGTGATAGGGATATAGTATACAAGTTACACATGGATCATGTCAATAGAATTTATAGCACTTGGCCATGTGAATCCAGATTATTTTTGATGACTATTTCTTCCTGTTATCCTAAGATTTTAGTAAAACCTTGTGTAAACATCTCAGGATTCTCCCAGATGTTCTTTGGCTTACAATGTTCAAGAAGACCAGCTAGTCAGAGTAAGGAAAGCATAATGGGACAAAGAGGCACTAGAAGCCCCCACTGAGCTCAGCCAGGGCAGGTAACTAGAGTGCGTAAGGCCCCATGGTGCCAGGCTCAGCTGCCCTTCCTTCACATGTTGTCTCTCTCTACCAGGAATCTGAGGGTTTGGTTATTTATGTTATGATGAAGTTTTGTTTTGTTTTAGGAACACACACACACAAAGCACATTCATTATGCAAATATGTGTAATTTGCTGATGTAGATGAAGACCCTAAATGACCACTGGGTGTCATCACAGTCTTGTTCAAGACTGTGCAAGACTCCTGAGTGGACCCTGAATGGTCAAGGTTTTCTGGAGCTTGGTGATAAATCAGGCTCAGTTCTGAATGCAACCAAAGTCCATCATCAATTCAAACTTCACTATGTGGCAAAATGGACAAGGAGCACACAGCTGGGAACTAGAAAACAAAACAATGTCTGAAAATGGCCCAAAACAACATCTCCAAGCCTTTCCACTTAAGTGTGTGTATTCTCCTCAAAAAGGAGAGGCATATGGGGCCTTTTAGTGGTGACTCTATTTTATTTTGTTTTGTGTGCTATTAGAAGTTATTTCCTTATTAGAACTGCTCACCGTTGTGCTGCCTTTGGCTTGGTTCATCCCATTTGCCTAGGTATCTCGGATTCATAAAAGCCTAGTGGGAAGCAGATCCATAAAAGCATAGTAGGAAGTGGGCTGACCACCCCAAGACAACTCCTAAGCACAATAAGCATGTGCCCAAAGCAAGAGTGACAGCGACATGCAAGCAGTGCCCCAGGTGGCAGAGTGACAAAACCTCTGCAATCCATCACATTTAAAAGGAAACATATATGATCTGGGCTGAGACCTGCCAGAGCAGGTCAACCAGCTGTGCTGACCTAGTTTTACTCCTGGGCAGAAAGCAGCCAACAAATGGTTTGAGTTCTGTGCTTGGCTCCCGATCCAATGCTGGTTTTCACAGGTGAAGAATATTCTGGACTTTTTTTCCAATTTGCTGACAATCATTGCTTCCTTACTGTAAGGTCATTGTATTAGTTATGCTATACCTTTTTTTTTTTTTTTCCAGTACTGGGGATTGAACTCAGGACCTTGTGTTTGCCAGGCAGGTGCGGTGCCACTGAGCTACATCCTGGGCTCCCCCTTTTTTGAGAGAGAGAGAGAGTCTTACTATGCAGTTCAGACTGGCCTTGAACTCACAGTGATCCTCCTGCTTCAGCCTCCCAGGTGCTAGGATTACAGGCTTAGTTATGCTATGTCTTGGAGGAAAAAATCCCCAGGGTTTGACTCAGTGGGAAAGCACTTTCCTACCATGCAAAAAGCCCCTAGTTCAATCCCCAGAACTGAAAAAACAAAATTCCAAAAGTCAGTAGCTTAAATACAAGAAGTTTATTTCCTGGCCAGATAACCTTCCAAACTGGTATTGAGCACTCCCTTGGGGTTAATTCTCCTCATGTGATTCCCCTAGGGCCATGTCATATGCAAGGGAGGCTGAGAAACAGTGGCTTAGCTGCATTCCCCTAATGTCATATTGGGGAAACAGCACTTGGTCTATTCCACAAGTACCCATCACTAATCCAAATGGCATTGTAGAAGGTTAAACACTAAATTGAGGCACAGGGAAGTTAAATTTAACTCTCTCAAGGTCACATAGGTAACAAGTGGCCAAATTTGAGCCCAGAGTCCATACTTAATAGCTAGGAGAAATCATAGAATAATATTTTCCCAATTGGGGGTATTGATGGCATTTATAATCATGACCCAAAGATCCAGAAGGCAATAAAAGAGAGACGAGAAGGGGTCACAGGGACAGAGAGGAGAGGAGAGGAGAGGAGATATTTGGCTACACAAAACTTAAAATTTCTAGACTAAGGAGCAGCTCAGTGGTAGAGCTTACACTTAGCATGCACAAGGGAGGCTCTGGATTCAGTCCCCAGCACCAAAACAAAAAGCTTAAAATATACAAATCAGAAAAGAAATAAAAGTAAAAGAGAAGCAATTAATTGGTGATATGTCTTGACTATAAACACAATCATAAGTTAATCTCCACAATATATAAAGATTTCCTACAGTTCAATTTAAAAAATAAAAAATGGGCAGAGGACAGAAACAGGCAATTCACAGAAGAAAATCAAATACCAAATAAAGAGACACTCAATTGCACTAATAATAAAAGTCATGTGAATTAAAATGTGCCAATATCTTAAGCTATCATAGTAGAAAAAGTATTGAAAACTTCTGATACTTCTTTTCGGTGAGGATGTTAAGAAATGGGCCTTTTAGCTGGGGATTTAGCTCAGAGGTTTCACCGCCTGCCTCGCAAGCGCAAGGTCCCGAGTTCGATCCCTGGTACCAAAAAAAAAAGAAATAGGCCTTTTCATACACTACTAGTGTAAAGTTTTAGTTGGTCTTTTAAAAGGAACCTTAGTGATATCCCCTAAAATTTTGGACCACAATTTGGTTATTAGGAGTCTAGCTTTCAGAAATAATTGAATGTATGGGGAAAGCTCTCCAAAAGAGAGAGCTTGTCTGTATATTGGAAATAATCTAAATGATGTGATGATGCATAAGAGGATAATTAAATAAATTATGGTGCATTTCTCAGTTAATCTTTAAAGAGAAGGTGGTTGCTCTGTAACTACCAACATGGAAAGAAGAGATTTCTAAAAAGTAAAAATGTGTGACTTTACCTGTAATCTCAGCTACAGAGGAGGGTGAGGCAAGAGGATCACAAGTTCCAGGCCAGCCTGGGCAATTTAGAAGACTTTCAAAACAAAATAAAAGCTAGGTGTGGTAGTGCATACCAGTAATCCCAGTACTCAGGAGGCTGAGGCAGGAGGGTCACAGCAAGTTGAAGGCCAGCCTGGGCTACATAGTTCAAGCCAACTTGAACTACATAATGAAACCGTTTCAAAGCACCAAAATGAATAAATAAAATAATATAAAAAGGATTGAGAGTTTACCTCAGCAAAAATAGATACATATAATAATATTATAATCATCCCCTGGAATTGAACCCAGAGCCTCAAGCACTCTGTTACTGAGCTCCACCTTCAGCGGTACCCAATATGTTTCTAACACTGTTTGATTCTCTGACACCCACTCTGTATCACTTTATAATTTTTAAATAGTATTTCCTTGTGTTTCAAAAGGAGGCAAGAGCAAGATATGAATAGCTCCTGTAGTCCTGTAGTTGCTCGCGCCTACAAGTTTGAGACCAGCCTGGGCAACAGGAGGAAATCTCTGCGCCAATAATTAATTAATTAATGATTGATTAAAATGTAAAAGGAGGCAGAGAGCCAGGCAAGGCTACCCAAAGTCAGCTCCCTGTGAATAACGGGCAAGGTCCCCGCCACCCCCGTTTCAGACAGTAGCCAAAGCAGCCCAGGTTCCCACCAGGAGAGCCACCGAGGGGCTTGGTGCCGCTCCAGGCTCGCCAGAGGTCGGGACTGCAGGGGCCCTGCCCCCTGTGCCGCCAGCCCTGCTCATCACCACCGCCAGCCCGCCTCCAGGGCTGCTGGGGGAAGCGGTCCAGCTGGCAGCAGACACTAGGACGTGCGGGGCGGCCCGGCCGCGGTCCCCGGTCCCCGTGGGAGTCTTCAGCGCCGCAAGAAGTCGCTTTCTCAGGGTACCTGCAGGGGTCCGAGCAGCAGGGCCTGGTTCCTTGGCGTCCTATGGATCTGCACCACTCTGAGCTGAGTGGTGGGTAAGAGATGCGCGTGGAGAGAAAGACTTCGCCGGGAGAAAGGAGGCCGCGCGCCAGAGGTGCTCAGTTCCGAGTTTCCTTGAGCTGGGCCCGGCCCGCTTTCCCCACTGAACTGCCGTCGAGTGCACAGCCCCCCCCCCCCGCCCACCCCGATCGATCGTAAAGTTCCAGAAGCTGCAGTGACGACCGGCCCGTCCTTTCAACCCGACAGCCGGATCCCAGCCTTGCAGGTGCGGGGCGCGGGGGACCGGAGCGGTTCGGGACCCAGGTGACGCTGAGCCCCGGGGCCCTCGGGCCCGCTAGTGCAGGGAGTTGGTGCCCCGGAGCTCAGGGACAGAGAGGGTCAGAGATGGGGCTTGAAACGGGGTGCGGGTGCTGCCCAGAATGCAAAGTGAGCTTCCCGGCCGCCAGAGCATCTGGGGGTTTCTGTCCGTCCGTCCGTTTGTCTTTGCTTTCGGTCTTTGGCGGGAGCAGAACTCACCCCGGCGGCGTCTGCAGTCCCCGGGGCGGCCTCAGGTTCTAGCCGTGCACGAGACCGGTGTGGACCGGTGCTGCGGGAGATGCCGAGCTCGGTCAGTCCCTGGGCCGCGACAGGAGAGGAGAGGACGCTGGGGACCGCAGAGAAGCAGAGCCCAGGGGACCCGAGCCCCCGGCCTGGCCGCGCAGTTTTCCTGGCGGGTTTCCGTGGTGTCCTCTCGCAGGTCCGGAAGGGGGAAGGATGTCAGAGGCCCTGCCCACCTGAGGGCCCGGCTGGCTGCGTTCGAGGCGAGAGGAGACAGCCAGTGCGAAGGTAAAGGGCCCTGGGCGGGCGAGCGCTGTCCGGAGAAGCTGCTGACAGCCACAAAGAGGGCTGAACTGTCGGTTCCTGGGAGAAAGGAAGGGCTGGGGGTCTCCTAAACCGAATCCCGCCCTTTCCCAGCTTCCGGAGGTCTAGGACAAAGCCTAAAGGGATTGGGAAGCGCAGGTTCCTGGCGTTACTGCCTCGGAAAACACGAAGGGATGGCACAGGAACACGCGCGGCCTCTTGGACCGGCACCCTGGAAACCGCATCCCCGGGGCCCCGACGGGAGTGCCGGGTGGGAGGCAGGGACTCTGAGCGGGAAGGCGACTGAGAGTGGGCCTGCCCTGGCCTCGCAGGAAGGGCACCCCGAACCGCCCTGTACCCCCGAAGGCCGGGCAATCCTCTTCCTCAGCAGACCCTGCGGGCAGCTTTCTCTACAACAGGGGACCCAGGAGACAAGCAGCGGCCAGGACTGGACCCAGGCCGGCAGTGGACAGGAGGCCGGAAGCAAGATGCAGACTCGGAGCTTGGAGCTCGGAGCTCGGGGCTCCCAGGAAATGCACCTCTGACTTGCAATATGGCACCAGAGGAGGGCCGCTGGCTGGCATGAGAGTGAGGAAGCACCTAACTCAGAGGAAGTCGTCCCTCCAGGAGCCTCTGCGCTCTTCCGCACAGTGGGAATGGGGACTCCGTCCCTCCGGCGAGGGCGTAGGCTCCCTCCCTTGGGGGCAGAGAGGGAGGACCCCACAACCAGATGGGAAACAGGCTCCAAAGTGGGAAGGTCCCAGCCATGAGGTTGAAACACACAAGGCCAGAGCAGAGACAACTCACTCCCCTCCTTCCCTCTCCCTTTAGGTCCCTGAAGAGTAAAAGAATGCTGGGGCTGGAGAGAGGAACACCGAAGGGGAAAGAGAATGCCCCGAGGCGAGGAGGAAGCGGACCTTCTGCAGGCAGCCACCCCCAACTCCATCTAAAGTCCCGTTTCTCTCCCCTTAGGTCACGATGGAGGGAGGCAAATCTCTGCTCTGACCTGTGAACAAAAGCTGACAGCTCTCTATAGTATTATCTCCTTGATTTTAGGCCGAAGTAAGGAAATTATTTGGATATTTTGATGCAGTAATCAAATAGTTTGGGCAAACCTAGATATGTGTCTGAATTATCACAATTAATACCTCAGGACTACCTCAAGTCTCTACTTGATTCTCCAAATGCAGTTGTGATTCATTCTCTTACACACACACACCCCTCTGTGACTTAGTTCTCTTCTCCCACAGGCTCACATCTTGTTTCCCAGGTAAAGGGAATATTTCATCAGGCCATATTTCATGCCAGAAACGTGCCATTTTCTAGATCTCAGCTGACCTGAACTCTATGCTGTTAATGGAACTAAAATACAACCAACTTGCCACCCCCAAGAAGTCTAGAGGACAGGCCTGGGGTGGAAGGAAAGGAGCAGAGAGAAGGAAAGACTACGGTAGTAACATTCTTAAAAATGATTTTCTAGGGCTGGGGATTTAGCTAGGTGGTTCCGCCACCTGCCTCACAAGCGCAAGGTCCTGAGTTCAATCCCTGGCACCAAAAAACAAAACAAAAAAAATTACTTTCTATATTAGGTCAAAACATCACGGTGACACAGAGTTGGAATTTGAAGTCAAGACACAAAAAGGCAACCTGATTAAATATCAGGAGCTGAGCAGGGAGCTTACAAAGCAGAAGACACAGCTAAAGGCAGTGCAGTCTGGTGGTGGTGGTTGGTGGAGTTCCTGTCGAGCCCCAAGCCCAGCCTTTCTAATAAGTTCACCCTTCCCCATCTCTGGCCAAAGGGATGGCTAGGAAGTAAATCCAGGCAGACTTGAAGGCGCATTATCTGTCTCCTTATTCCGTTTTGCGAATGTTGGAGTTTTAATTACACACTTGCTTTTTACTGGGGAAGACCAAAGATCATATTTTTCAAAGTATCAACTTGTTTTCCATTAGGCAGTTGTTGTAACAAGTTCTTTCAGCGACAGGTTATGTCTTTAGGAAAGGGTGCTTCAGGTGGCGCGCACCAGCACAATTTTGTGGGTTTTAATTACTATTTTGTTCTTTTGGGGGGTTTCAGAGGCTGGCGCCTGGGCGTGATTAGACCGTCTACCCCGCCCGCCGCAACCTCGCATATAGCCCACAAGGTGGCGCCACAAAGCAGTCGCAGCGGGACGAACCAACTGCGAGTCCAGCGAGGCGTATGTCCGTCACCGTCCGGGTTTCCAATACCCAGGACGTGGAGTTACAGAAGTCGCCACGTGAATTTTTTTTTAAAAAAGGAGAATAAATTGCAATGATAGTGTGCAACAATGTCCTAAAGTGTAAAACTCTAACTTTTTTTACATTTGTGGTTGCAATTTTCCAAAAAGACGTAATAAATCTAGTAATCTCACCCAAATATTAATTCATTTACTTTTTCATAAAAGCATCGAATTTTAGTGATGTTAGAATGAACCTTGAAGGCTGCCTGGTCTACCTTTCCACCCTTAGGAGAAAACCCAGGGATCGCTCTCCAGGTGTCAATCACCCACGAGAGGTCACAATTACTCAGAGCACGGCGCGTCGGGAAAGCACAAGAAGCGATTTTAAATCTATGGTAATAATACCTTTGGGGTTATATAGCTTTTCTCTCAAGCAACAAGGAAAAAACGTTTACATATTAACCAATTAATTGTCCTAATATCCCTGTGGGTTGCTTAGAAGGCAGGTATTATTATACATGGTTTATGGATAATTTAAATCAATTGACTGTCAAGCGCCGGAGAACGGCTGACCCCCAGTAAGTGCCAGACACTTCCAGAAAAAGCGGAGACACAGCCTGCTCGGCTCACCGCACGGCTTTCTGTGATTAATGTATTTGAAAACTGACCCCTGACTTGAAGGTACGAAATCACTGAGATTGACTCCTGCACACAAGAATAGGATGGGAAACCACACTTCTTCCTATAGAGCAAAACGCTAGTCTCTATCTCCACGTCTTCCGTCCCGACGCGAACCAATCTGCACCCCACGTCCCCACCCCGCACCCCACCCCTCCCCAGCCCCGCGCCTCGGCTCCCATTCCGCACGGCCCGTAAGCACTCGCGGCCGCGGTAGCCTCAGTGCCCGCCATGTGACACCCGCCCCGCGGCCGCCGAGCTCGGAGGCGCCCTGAGCCCCACGGCCGCTCGCTTCCGATTGGCTGTTGCTAGGTGACGTCGCCTGCGCTCACGTGACAAGTGTTAAATGCCCACCCTGCAGGAGCCCGCCTGGCAGACAATCGTAAAGCTGCTCCGGGCCGCTCACCTGCTCCCGCCTCCCGGAGCCCCGACCCGGCCGGGTCACCCCTGCCCCCGCCACCCCCCGCCCCCGCCCCAGCCCGCGCCGGGCAAGGAGCAGAGAAGGCCGAGAGGATGCGGCCGGCGGCTGCTGTCCCGAGCGGCGCACGGTGATCGCCTCCCCCGAGGAGGAGGCGCCTAGACCGTTGCCTCATTCCTTGCCCCCCCCCCCGTAATTGCATTGGCTGCTGGAAGGGACCAGGAGAGACAGAGGAGGCGTCTGGCTTCCCCTTCACGCCCGCCACCCCTGTTCTTTCCCGTCCCGGGCCAGGATGACTGGAGTCTTTGACAGTCTGGTGGCTGATATGCACTCGACCCAGATCACGGCCTCCAGCACTTACCACCAGCACCAGCAGCCCCCGAGCGGCGGCGGCGCCGGCCCAGGAGGCAGCAACGGCGGCAGCAGCAGCCTGCACAAGCCCCAGGAATCGCCGACCCTTCCGGTGTCCACGGCCACCGACAGCAGCTACTACACCAACCAGCAGCACCCGGCGGGCGGCGGCGGCGGGGGGGCCTCGCCCTACGCGCACATGGGCTCCTACCAGTACCACGCCAGCGGCCTCAACAACGTCCCCTACTCCGCCAAGAGCAGCTACGACCTGGGCTACACGGCCGCCTATACCTCCTACGCGCCCTACGGGACCAGTTCGTCTCCAGCCAACAACGAGCCCGGTATGCACAACGCTGATGCCCAGGGTGCCAGGCCGGTTGGGTCACGGGGACGGATGAGTAAACATGTTTTGGGGAGGGTGCCGTCCAGAGTCCTGGCCTTCCACACTGCCTGCCCATCGCCTGCTCCTTCCCTTTACCCTTCCCAATCTACCCTCCCGAGAGTGAGGGTTTCTCCGGCGCTCAGCTGGGGGAACCCAGCGGCTCCAGGGCTGGGCGGGCGGGCGGGCGAGCGGTGCGCGCCTCCCTCCGGTAGCTGCATTTCCTCGACACCTGCGTCCCTTCTCTCCGGCGTGTTTCCCGTCCTCCCTTTCCCTGGAGGGCTCAGCCCGCGGGCTCGGTGGCAGCTCTAGTCCGCACGTGGCGAAGTTGCGCCTGCAGCCCGCGCGCGCGACCTCTCCAAGGACCCGCTTCCCGGCAGCAAGAGCTTTAGGACCCCCGCGTTGCGCGGTCATCGCCATTCCATTTCGTTGCAGAGAAGGAAGACCTCGAGCCTGAAATCCGGATAGTGAACGGGAAGCCAAAGAAAGTCCGGAAGCCCCGCACTATCTATTCCAGTTTCCAGCTGGCGGCTCTTCAGCGGCGCTTCCAAAAGACTCAGTACCTGGCGCTGCCCGAGCGAGCCGAGCTGGCGGCGTCTCTAGGCCTCACCCAGACTCAGGTGGGGCTTGCGCCCTGCGGGGATCAAGAGGGCGCGCGCCTGGGAGGCCCGGAAAGCACGCGCTTTTAGGGCTTCTTTAAAAATAATATTTTAAGCAGTTTTAAGAATTTGCAGCCCCACACTTAAGGCAATCTAAACTTCTAGGCCCAAAGCTGAAAACCCCCAAAGGGTCGCTTCGAGGGAGGGAAGCAGAGGGACTGACGTGCGCCGAAATCGGGTACCACATTGCCTTACTCTTTAAGCGGGTGAAATAACTGGCCCTCCTGACACTCCCTCTGTCATCACCGTTCCCAGACATCCGGGGTCACACACACAGCATGAACATCAGCTTTTTGAGGTCGCCTCCCAGTACAGCAGGAAGCTGCAGCGCGAGATCTCGTGCCGGCCAGGTCGCTCGGTGGCCACCTCTACCCCGCGGGCTTTCTCTGCTGCCTCCTCTCCCTGCCCCTACCCGGGTTCCTCCTCTAACGCTCTGATTCTTTACCCACAAAGGTCAAAATCTGGTTCCAAAATCGCCGATCCAAGTTCAAGAAGATGTGGAAGAGCGGCGAGATCCCCTCTGAGCAGCACCCTGGGGCCAGCGCTTCGCCACCTTGTGCCTCGCCTCCCGTCTCGGCGCCAGCTACCTGGGACTTCGGTGGGCCGCCGCGGATGGGGGGCGGCGGCGGCCCCGCCAGCGGAGGCAGCGGCGCCGGCAGCTCCGGTTCCAGCCCAAGCAGCGCGGCCTCGGCTTTTCTCGGCAACTACCCGTGGTACCACCAGGCCTCGGGCTCCGCGTCGCACCTGCAGGCCACCGCGCCACTGCTGCACCCCACGCAGACCCCGCAGCCTCACCACCATCATCACCACCACCACGGTGGCGGGGGTGCCCCGGTGAGCGCAGGAACGATTTTCTAACCCCAGGGTGCCCGCCCCAGAGACTGAGCAAACACCCGTGAGCCTCGGTGCCCGCCCCACCGCAGGACGGCCCCTCCGGCCGCCCGCGGCTGCCCCCCAGCAGTGCGGGAGGGTGCAGTCTGGCACGGCGCGGCCCAGGCTCTGCACCTCCGTGCGCCACGCAGCAGCCGGGAAGTGGGGACCCTCGCCCCGCGGGCTCCTCTCGGCAGAAGCGGACAGCTGCGCGGTGAAGGCCGCCACAAGGCCGCATTTCGGACCTGAGCCCCGAGCCTCGGCCATTTCGAGCCCCGCCTCGGACTTGCCTCCCCTCCAGTCCCCGCCCAGCGAGGTCGTCAGGCGCCTTCGTCGCCCGGGGCCTCGAGCTGGGCCCGGGAGAGGGATCCCTGCCCCGCCCGCGAGGTTCCCGGGCTCTGAGACTCCTTTCTCCTGGCTCGCCCCAGGCTCAGCTCCGGCGCGCAGCGGTTGTTGACCTCCCCGGGTCCTGCTGGCCCGCCCTCCCCTTCGTGCCCCCGTGACCTGGGCCCCAAGGCTTCCCTCCTCTGTTCCCAGACCTCGCCCCCCATTCCTACCCGCCTTAGCGACCCCCAGGAGCACTCCTTTAGCTCTCTCCTCATCCATCACAGTGGAGTTTTTTTATTTTTATTTTTTTAAAAGTTTAGGTGCCTTTGCGGATGACCTCATTTTGATGTTGGGAAAAAAAATGATTTTTAATATGTGGACACTGCAAAAAATGTGTTTAAATTATCTTTTTTAAAATTTATTCAGGATTATTAGCCTGGACTTCGACAGTTTGTAAATAAAGGTGTCTGTGCATATTTTCCCACTGATTTATTTGTATGAAAATCCTCATCTTTTCAGATGTTTTTGTATAGCCCCAGTTGTGAAAACTGCGGTTGAGCAGTGACCTCAGCAACCCTTCCATTTTATTTTTTCCCTTTGAAAAAATTTCTCAGTTAAATTAAGCTACTGATTTGAATTTGCTTTATCTTATCCTAAAGTCTTTGTTCTTGAAATGCAAGGTATTTTGAGGTTATTTATTATGAAAACAACATGCTCTTAATGTTGATTTTACAATATGAAGAGATTATTTAAATAAATTATTGTTTTCATTGGAGTGTGTGAATTTTCCTTGGTGCCCAGGGTTTCTGAGCTCGAGCTGTCCAGGCCCGGAACCCGGGCAGAGGAGAGCGCCGTGAGGTTCGGGGAGTCCGGGACCCGCGCGCGCGCCCGGGAAGGGTTCAGCTCCGCCCCCTTCAGCCCCTCGCGGGGTTCGCCAGCCTCGGGCGCCGTGACTCACTCAGCGCCGGGCGGCTCCAGCCTCCGCCCGTCCGGCCCGGCTGGCGCCCGCGCCACCACCCCGCGCCTGGGCGGTCTCGGCCGCCCCCGCGTCCGCCTAGCTGGCCCGGCGGTGCATCTGAGCCGCCGCTGAGGACTTGCTGTCCTCGGTCAGAGCTCAGCCGCAGCCGGGGATCAGACTTTTACATTGGACCCTCCCCTCCGATTGCCCCGCGGCCCTTTGGGAGCCGCCAAAGCGGAGAGCTCCATGAGTCACCCTCCTAGGAAGGCACGGTTGGCTGCTCTGGAATGCAGGATGACCCCGCGCACAGGGCCGCGCTAGCACACACACAGTCACACACCGGACACAGTCACACGCGTGCGCTCACTTTCACACGCAGGCACACACGCGATACAGGACATATCACAATCATACGCTTACCCACACATGACACGACACACAAATCCATGCACACATCCACACTCACTGATAACACTGACTCACATATGCACATGCACAAACACGCGCAGAGATCGGTGCTCAGCGCTGTGGGAGTGGCATCCTTGCACTTCGCACTATTAGCGAGGAAAAGTCCACACATCACTCGGCTCCGCTTTCTAGCACCGGCCGCAAACAAGCAGCTTCCAGCTTTGAAAATGACCCTACTTTCTAGCATTGCCTGCAAAAGCCAAGGGTAGTTGTGTAACGCAGGTGTGAAAAGTCCCTTTCTCCGATAGCACTGGGGCCCACAGTTGGACGCTTCCTGACTTCAATGGCTGACTACGTGACCTTGGGCAACCTTCTTAGCCTCTCTGTTACAGTTGCAGATCTGTAAGATAGGAGTCCTAATAACAGCTATGGCTTAGAGTTGTTGTAACCAACAATTTAATGAACCCTTAATGAGGTAGTGATGTAACAGTGCCTGGCCCATGATAAGCACTAGATACATTTTTGCTGTCTTGTATTTAATATTACTGTTTTATCACAATGTCCCAAATCAAAAAGGCTTTACTTTTGCCTGTGATTGTGAAGTCCAGAGTTACTCAGAGGCCTTTCCAACTTCACCTTGTGTAGAAAAGCAGCATCCCAGGATGGGGAGAGCCGTGGCCGCTTCCTACGTGGGGCTTGAAGCTCAACCATTCGCTCTAAGGGATCTGCCTCCAATACAGAGGCGGTTGGGCAAGGGCCAGACAACCCTGCTTGCCAGATGAAGGCCTTCTCTCCTCAGGTTATTTGGGCCATCCATATTACGTCCTCTATTCCTCTCTGCTCAAAACAGACACAGTAGAGGTAACATTCTGGGGGCCACAGCATCATCAACCAGGAGGGGAATCCTGACTTTTCTGCCTAGAATGTTTTGGGCCCTGCTCCAAGTCTAGTTTACAGTAGAGTGTAGCCCGGGGATTTGGGGCTCTGGAAAAAAGGAGGCTACATAATCCTGTGTCCCTTTGCATTTCTGCATTGTTTTCCCAGGCTAGAAAGGACTGGGCTAAAGGCCGCTGATCGAAATTCTAAAGCAACCGCTGCCTATCTGACTCCCTTCCCTGTTCCCCCACCCCGAACCCCGCTCCAGTTCCACATTCCGTGGGGTTTTGTGAGTACCAGGAGCTGGTGCCAGCCTTCCTCCTGCGGTCGACTGTGCCCTCCCCTCCCTTGTGCGCACTCCCCTCCCCCCCTCCCGAAACCAGCGGGGAGAGACGGGGCAGTAAATTGGCTGGTGTCGAGGATCTGCCGCAGACAAGATGATTAAGAGGCCTACGCCGGAGCGCCCGGGGCAGGGAATGTCAGCCCAAGTTGGAATCACGCAACAGGCCTTGGCATGAGCCGAGCATGGGAGCCGGGAGGGCGGGCGGCCCCTCTCCGGGGTGGGCCGAGGCCCCACAGACTCGCCGGAGTCACCGAACCTGGCACTTGGCGGTGGCGGGGTCGGGCGGCCAAGGCGCGCCTGTCCCCGGGGAGCCCGAAAAGCCCAGGGCAGGAGGGTGCTGGGGCCTGGGGAAAGGGGTGGTTCCGCAGCCCCAGAGAAAGGCCCTGAGGAGGGAGCGCGGGGCAGGGCTGGGGCCGGGTCCCAGAAGTGAGGGGGCGGGACTCGGAGGGGTGGGCTAAGGGAGAAACAAAGCCCGGCCCCAGGAGGCGGGGGCCCGCTCCAGCCCCGCCGGGGGCAACGCGCTGGCCTTCTTTCTCAGAGTCCCGCCAGGAGACGGGGAGCCCTGTGATCAGCCCGCCGCCGCCGCGCAGACACGCTCCCCCCCCCGCCCCGCGCTCCACTGCGCGCCCCAAAGCGCGGATGAAAAATGGAAATGGGAAGCAGCGATCTCGACTCCCTACACTGGGAAACCAGCCGCGCTCGGAACACACATAAATCTTCATTGTAATCCCCATCCATCTGCTCGTGTAAAATATCAGGCCGGAGACAGGATATGACAAGCGCTGGGAAGCGAGGGGAGGGGGGAGCCGAAGTGTGAGGGGTGCCCGGCCCTCACCGTTCCACTCTCTGGCAGGGCTCTCCGTGCTCAGGCACAGGGCTTGCACTGAGGCTTGGTGCCAACTGCGGGCAGCTGGCCTGCCTCTGCGTCCTTCTCCCGTCCCAGGCCCGCCCGCCCTCGCCACCGAGCTGGGAAGGGCGCGGAACCCCCTCCGGCCACCCGGAATTCCCGCCCCCACCCAGCGGCCCCGGGGCGAGGGAGGGCAGAGGGGAGAGCGAACAGACCCGGGCCTAATCAGCCCTGCTGCAATGTGGGACCGTTTAGGAAGCTTCCCCTCGGCCTTCTTGCAGGATCACTTGTGAAAATTGTGAATATCCGTCCTGACTAAGGATTTCCGAGACTGATGGGGCGAGTTTGGGGGAAGTATCAGATTTAGTGGGGGCGGAGAGAACCAGAGAAGACTGAAGCTTTGTTTACAAACAATTCGGGTGTGGAAGACTTGGGGGAGGTAGAGAAGCTCAGGAGTGATCCTAGGGTTCCCTCCGCCGTTACAGCCCCCACAACTGCCAAGGAGTAGGACGGAGGGACCAAAAGGTCCCCTTGCCTTTCAAAAGGCCAGTCTTACAGCGCAAACCCCGGCGTAACAGGCCCACTCCAGGATCCCCAACACTCGCCCAAATCACAAGCCAGCTCCTTTCCCTCCGGGAACAGCGACCACCAGTGGCTTCGAACTGTTTAGGGCCAAAGATTCCTTTGAGAATAAAGCTACAGCTCCCTTCCGGCTACAATACAGACAGGTCCCTTGAGTTCGACTTTGGGGTCCTGGGACTTAGAAGCAGCTGAGGGGAGCGATGACGTATCTTGTGCCCTTGGAGCGGGAGAACTGAGCTGTCCCAAGACTAGGGCCTCTCGCAGGGTCGTGACACGCCCGAGGCATCCCTAAGGAAGCCTCCCTGCTGCCAGATTTCCCTCCCCACCCGGGGTCTGCCGAACGAGCCGCCCCCCAGCCCAACGCGCACACGCACACACGCACGCCAGGGCAGGCGGACAGGAGGCCTCACCTCCCTCCAAGGCCCACACCCTCACCCCTGCGGGAGTTCCCCTCTCTCGGGGACGGGTTTGTCAGTGATTGCCACAGTACAAGATGTTACATTCCGCCCTGGGGCCTGGGGCTGGGGGTTTCAGGGAAAACAGTTCGTTTCGGGAGGAAAAAAAGAGCAGACAGGTCTTGGAGGAGCAGCCACTTGGCGCCTCCACGTGATGGCAGACACTGTCTCCAGACAGACCTTCCTTCAGGGGTCGCGCGGGCTCGGCTTCCCGCTTCACCTCCAGGCCATCGCGCAGACACTGCTGTGTCTTCGAACTTCCAGGGCTCTCCCCAGGCTTGTTTTGGGGTCCCCAGGAGTCCCTCGTCCTTGTCGGGTGGGGCCGCGCGTTCGAGGCTGAGGAAGGTGGATGCGTGCACCTTGCGAGCCGCGGCTGCAGGGGACAGGATTACAACCTGGGGGATGGAGGGGCGAGGGGTCGAGGAAAGAAGGTGAGCAGGGGTGGTACAAGGGCGCACATTTGGGTCGGCACGCAGCAGGCAGGAGGCTTTTCACACTCCCCTCCCTCCGCTGCAGTTCGGTGTCCAAGAGATTCGGACACCCTAGAGGTGAAACCACCGCTCCGGGAACAATAGAGACGTCTGGCTGGGGGAACCCGAGCGAGTCCCCTGGGCTCCGAGCGACCGCCGAGCTCGGGTCGGCGTCTCCCGCGGGCGCCGCGGCGTCCCCTCCTCCTCCGGGACACTCTCCGCCCCGCCCCTTCCCTCCGCGGGCCTGGCCCGGGCTTCTTAAAGTCACAGGGTGTCTCGGTGCCCCAGAGACGCGCCGCCCAAGTGGGGCGTAAGTGGGGCGGTGAGGGGGGAAGACGACAGCACTGCAGTTCTTCAGGCAGTGGAGACAAAAGAAGAGCCTAGGTGGTCGCGGGGAGGGCCTGGAGGCCTCTCAGCTCTTTCCATCCTCTTCCCCCAAACCCCCTGGGAAGTCTCCAAAACGCGGGGTCTTATTGGGCGCCAATGGGCGGCCACTGGCACTCTCCCGAGGTGATCACCGCCTGGCACCAACACCACAGGCAGCCAGGGCCCGAGAGCTCATCCCATCCCTCCTAACTGTGGAGGCTTGGAAGAATCCGGGAAAGGGGCCCAAGGAGAACTACAAGGAAAAAGAAAGGAGGCCGGGGCAGGAAGGGGTTTCTGTTTAGTCACTTTCTCAGTTGCAGCATTTGGAATTTGGGGCGGGGGGGGGGGGCAGGACCTGCGGGTGTCCAAGCCTTGGAGAACAGGCACTAGGAGAAGGGGATTCTCCCCCACATGTTCACGGAAAGGACAGTGAAAATTTGCCTTGGGTGGCCAATTTCCTCATTTACCCC